GTATGTTAGACCGCATGCACGATAAACTACAGCACACATTTCAATCAGCCCTAAAAGAAATCAGGGCAGACATACAAGATCTGGGCGCCAGGACCTCAACGCTGGAGGACCAAATGGCAGACCAGACTGAAACTTATAAGGAAATGCGGGCAGACATGGAGGAGATGAATGACACCTTGGAAACCCTGGGAAATAAAATAGCAGACATGGAGGACAGATCGTGGCGCAATAACCTCAGGGTCAGGGGCATAGCAGAATCGGTGAGCACGGCAGATCTCCATGCACACCAACAGAGCCTGTTTAAAGTCCTAGCGCCGGATTTACCTCAAGACCTACTCCTGCTGGATAGATACCATCGAGTTCCAAAGCCTAGATTCTTAACCACGGATGCGCCAAGAGATGTGCTAGTGCGCTTGCATTACTTCCACGTTAAGGAGGACATTATGAGAGCAAGCAGACAACGCCAATCCCTCCCAGAGCCACACCAGAGAACAACCATTTATGCAGACATCTCAGCCGCAACACTGAAAAAGAGGAAGACCTTTGCGGCTATCACAGAGCAACTGCGGCAACATAAGAAGCCATACCGATGGGGATTTTCGGTAAAGCTGCTCATCCCCCATGAAGGCACAATAACGGCCATCCACACCCCTGAAGCTGGCCTGAAAGCACTTCAGGATTGGGGAATACCGCCACCACCCGCCCCAGCCACCGCGACGGACCGCAGCGGGGTCACACCCACTTGGCGGAAGGTGCCCAGACGCTGGTAGACGGAGCAAGCATCGCAGAACGTGGCAAGTAAAATTGAGAGACTTTGGGACTATGTACAGCACAAGAGACACTTGTGAAAATACAAAAGCAGGGGGGGGGGGGCGGTGAACTCAGTGGCACTGGGAACACAAAGGGAATAGACAGACACCCTAGAGTTTAGGGTTTGCTACCAGCCCCATAGCACCAATCGGGCCACTAACAGCAAGGTTGACTAGCTTATAAAATGGCAGTTAGGCCGCAAAAGGCTTCACACAGGAATGGAAGCACTATGCTTCTTCCCCCAGGGCACCTTAGTTAGGCGCCAAGCCAAGTATAAGGCAGCTTTTATAGTTTTAGTTCTGTTATGTTACTACCCCGTTTGTCAGCCAGAGAAAGCACAACACAATGACCACCATCTCACCACTTTACCTAGGGAAAGAACCCCCCATGGGGGCACAACACATCAGCTTCACAAGGGGGAGTCGCCTGGTTCGAAATGGCTGGGTGAGGCGGCAACCCCACACATAGACACCGAAACCTATCAGGAAAAGCGGGTACAAATTTTTAAACCCCCATGAAAATATACATCCACAACACCAAAGGCCTAAATAGCCCTGCTAAACGCAGCTTACTACGCCGGGATTTGAAACAAAACAACCCGGACGTAGTGTGCTTAAAAGAAACTCACTTTAAAACAAACTCACACTCCCCACTGTTCGTGCAAGACTTCCCGCACCAGTTCCACGCTACATATTCAAACAAGTCAAAGGGAGCCTCCATCCTTATTAGCAAGGATGTAGCATTCACCCTCTCACACCTGTAAGTGGACGAGGGAGGGAGATATGTCATGGTGGTGGGCGACTTCAATGACATCACATACACGATCATAAACATCTATGCCCCAAACAAAGGACAAAAACATTTCCTCCATAAAATAATCAAGAAACTGGAAACAACACAAAAGGGGATTAGTATAATATGTGGGGACTTCAACCACGTAATGGACCCCATGGTAGACTCCACGGTGTCGCCATCAGCACCCAGAATGCGACCGCTCAAACGACAATGCAAAGCAATACAGAAACTACTCAACACACACCACTATTACGACGTGTGGCGGGCGACACACATCGGGGAAAGGGGCTACACGTTCTTCTCCGCGGTACATAATACGTACTCCAGGATTGACGGCATATTAGTAAAGGGACAACACTTAGACCAAATAAAAGAATGCGACATCAAACAGTTCACATGGTCAGACCATGCACCTGTAGTAGTGACTTTAATCGACCTATACGACTCCACACACAGGAGCCCCTGGAGACTTAATGCCTCTCTCCTCAGGGACCCCAACTTCTGTAAAACATTAGAAAAAGCACTACGGCACTATTTTGCAGAAAATACGATAGCCCACAACACATCCCACAACACGATTTGGTAAGCACACAAATCAGTAGCACGGGGACTCCTGATCCAAAGAGCGGCAACCCTCAAATGACAGGCAGACACAAAACAGCGGGAAAGGCAGAAGGCACTATTAGATATCACGATCCTAAATCAAAGGAACCCCTCACAAGACCTAAAGAAACGCATTATACAGCTTACGCAAGACATGCAAAAACAAGCACTAGATAGAACAGGACAGCACCTCCAGAGGCTTAAAGCAATACAGTACGCTCAAGGAAACAAGGCAGGCAAACTAGTGGCACAGCGCCTCAAAACACTCCAAACTAAACAAAAGATAGCACACATCCAAACAGAGGAGGGACACGGGATCACAGCCCCCAAGGACATTAGCAATGCGTTTACCAAGTACTATGCATCCCTCTATAACCTGGCGAATGACGCCAAAACACACCAACCAAAACCACAGCATATAAAACAATACTTGCACAAGATACCAATGCCCTCACTGACACCGCAACAACAACACAAACTCTCCTCCAGCATCACCGAAGAGGAGGTGGATGCAGCAATCCAACAGCTCCCAACGGGCAAGGCCCCAGGCCCAGATGGCTTTGCTAACTGCTACTACAAAACATTCAAACCCATCCTGGTGCCATATTTAACGAAAGCCTATAACGAAGCCACTCAACAACAAAGCCTACCCCGTGAAACACTACTAGCCCACATCATAACGCTACCCAAGCCTGGAAAGCCGCCCACCTGCCCCCAAAACTTCCGCCCTATATCCCTCCTAAACACCGACGCCAAACTATACGCTAAAATATATGCGCACAGGTTGGGAAGCCTGCTCCCGCACATCATCCACTCGGACCAAGTGGGGTTCATAAAAGGCAGGCAGGGGGGAGACAACACCAGGAAAGTGCTTGACATAATATACAGTGCCCAACGCATGAGAATGGGAGGCGTGGTGGTGGCACTGGATGCGGAAAAGGCCTTCGATCGACTGAGCTGGGAGTTCCTCGAGGCAGTCCTTACTAAGGTCGGGATACCAGAGGGCTTCCTCTCGGCGGTCAGGGCTCTATACAACAGGCCAACAGCCCAAGTCTTAAACACGGGGTTCGTGTCAGATCCCTTTCAAATAACGAATGGATCTCGCCAGGGATGCTCGCTCTCCCCACTGCTATATGTTTTAGCGCTGGAACCACTTGCAATAGCCATACGACAACACGCCTCAATACATGGGGTGACCATAGGGGACAAGGAATATAAAACGAACTTATTTGCTGACGACGTACTGCTCACCCTGACACAACCCCAGATATCTCTCTCCAACCTGGTAGAAACAATTCTAGAATATGGACGGCATTCGTACTATAAATTAAACATTAGCAAGACTCAAGCCATGGGGGTGGGGATTGGGACGGAAGCCCTAGATAGACTTAAATCTGCCTTTTCATTTGATTGGAGAACGGACCACATCACGTTCCTAGGCATTAACATTCCGACCCAAGTAAATAGGCTAATGGGAAAAAACTACACCAAACTCTACAAAGAACTAGCGGTGACTCTAGAAGGTTGGGAGGGCAAATACTTATCATGGGTAGGGAGGCTGGCAGCAATAAAGATGATGCTGCTTCCGAAACTCCAGTATCTCTTACGCACACTACCCATAAAACTACCAAAAACCTATTTTTCGCGACAGAAGGGGAAACCCCACAATGGACCAAAATAAAAGCCCATTGGGAGGGGGGGGCATAGCCTACACAACCTTTTCTGGCTGCCAAGACACCTACGCCCTGCACACATCGACCCCCTACCGACTACCTTAACAACCCTGACAATCTGGGATGAGACAGAGGACAGAGAGAGGGCCAGTATACCAGGGAACGCCCCGATCTCCGTGATCGCGGTAGGAATCCCAACATTTGAACATAAACAATGGAGAGACTGAGGGTGCACTACAGTCACACACCTATATAAAGAAGGAAAGTTAATGCCCTTTCCAGACCTCCAAGAACTATACCACCTCCCAAACAGAGCCATATTCCCATTTCTACAATTTAAGTCCTTTCTCAAGGGGATGGAAGTAAAGAACACAACACAGCAACAAGGGTGTAAGTTAGAGCAACTATGCCTCTCACCAAAACCAGCCAAACGCACACTATCTATACTATACAAGGAGCTACATAACGAGCCACAGGAAACCGTCATGCCATTCCAAGAAGCGTGGAACGGGGAACTGGGATACATCCTACCACCGGAAAAATGGGAGAGGGCCTTTAGAATTCATAAGGGAAACACACAATGCTCCACACATTTAGAAACTATAAGGAAGCTACAATACAGGTGGTATATGGTACCAGAGAGGCTATCCAAAATATACCCAGACTCCCCCAATAAATGCTGGAGGTGTGGGGCCCAGGGAGGGACAATGGGACACATATGGTGGTCATGCGAGAGACTAGCACCACTCTGGGTAATGCTGGAAAAAGAGATAGGGAAGTTGATAGGTAGACAATGGCCACAAAACCTTGAACAATGCGTACTCTTTATGATTCCCACAACATTGGACAAAATAGAGGAACGACTGCTCTTCCACATGCTGATTTCTGCACTAACACTATTAGCCAGAGCATGGAAATCAACCCAGGTACCGAACAGGGACACACTAATAAATCAAGCAGAAACCAATTGGAAGTATGAACTAATGGCTTTCAAACACTTGACACCACAGGGAAACATTAAAAAAGCGGGGGAAAGATGGAGGGAATACAGAGAGAGGTCAGAGGGGAATCAGAGTCCAGTAGCACTACAGGGGACCGATGCGAGAACAATCCAGAATGGGGGGAACCAGGACATGGCAAACAGAGGGTCACTAACCCCATAAGAAGTTGTAAAGAGATGATAGACGTGGAATGTCTCGAGCAGACGCAGAGGCTAGAATCACATCCTCACATAGCCATTAACCGAAACAGGGGACAAGCTCGAAAGGTGACAGCCCTAAAGTGATGAGTAGTACCGGTTGATAATAAAAAGGAAAATAAAGAATGGTCATTGTGTAATACCAATGTTAATTATTGTTCCTGTATCCCTTTTCTTTTCTGTACCCTGGCGAGCAGGCGCCGCAAAGATGCTTGACAATCACAACAATAAAACTTATTTTCAAATTAAAAAAAAGGAGGCATTAGGAAACAACAGGGCACTACCAGACAGTCAATGACAGTGAATCACAAAACTTCTCATAGGATTTAATCAGAGTTTTGACCAACACCAAATATCTGGCAATGCTTTTTTTGTTTTTTACTATTCCTTTGAACAATAGAGGGGGATAATAAGGGGAGGGAGGGAAACTGTAGTACTATGAAATTAAAAGAAGTAACACATATTTAATAGACAGATCTTAAAGGTAGGAGTTTCCTTAAACAAAATGTAAAACTCCAATCGTAAAAAATAGCAATATAGTTTAATTTTTATTTATTTAATTTTATGGCAACATAAATGGGTGCCCCAGCTGCCACATTCTGGCCCGTGGTGAAATTGTGAATGTGCACTCATTCTGGCAAGAACTGTCTCAAACCTTCACCAAATCTCGGATCCAATGCACACTAGATTAATTTATGAATAATAAAAAAAGCTACATATCAAAATAAGGCTTTAAACAGCTTTCATGTGTGTCCCAGGCATGCTTATACAATACAAAAGGAGGTGGAGCCCTTAATATAGCAAAATATGTCACCCATTGATATTGAGGATTTTGAATAAGTCCAAAAACACACTTAAAAAGTGATAAACGGATCTAGGGCCTAACATGCAGGTGAATATTATTTAAGTGAAGGCTATGGAGTTTATCCGATCTGAGGTCATATATAGGTCATTACTTAACACTGATGGGGGAAGATCAGTTTAGAGGATTTAAAGCGTCATTGCAGTGTAAATCTTAATCTGTGCCTTTGGTCTACATGCTGAACACTGAGTTCAAAGGTTTATGACACATCTCCATTATGTTCACCTTGTGGCATTACTTTGCAATGAATGTATGAGAGTCCAGGGAGAGTTTGCAGAAAATGTAAGGGACATTCTACATCACCCCCTGGACCCTGTAATGTTGATTTTGGCATGTCATGGGGACTTGACATTTGGGAGTAACTCACACTGATGATATATTGTAATGGTTTAACGTGGAGCCTGCCAAGTGACAAGCAATCAGGATTTACAGGGGTGAGTAATACTGTTAGAGCAACTGGCTATCTAATTTACGAATTTATGTAGAACATAAATATAGTTATTAATATACTTTGTAGGACATACATATAGTTATTTTAAGAAACAAAGCCATATCAGAACTTTCACTAGAACAAGGGATTTGCCTAACCCTGGTCCTGAAGAGGGTAACCTTGTTATTAATTATTTTTTTTTCTTGACTTTGTTTTTGTACATTTTCATTACAACATCTAGACTTTGACATCACAACTGCCCGTAATGATGACAAATACATGACATTTCATGGATTTATATATTTTCATGGGAATTTGGGGTAAGTGGGTACTCCACTGTTGTAGTAGAGGATCTTGGGAAAAATAAATTAATTTGCATGAAACAACCTGTCTATGCCATTTCAGAGATGGAAGTAATATATAGTTTTAGTAATAAACAAAAAATAGTAAAATAGATGGACTAACAGACATGTATTTGTAACAAGACGAGCTCACATTGAGGGAGTGGAGCTCAATGTAAAGTGGCTCAAGAGGTAAGGGTAGGATGTATTTCATGTATGGGGAAAAGGTAGGTTACTAGAATAGTTTACAATGAATGGCTAGTGTAAAGGCTGACACAGTTGCAGGAGAGAAAGCAAGGTGAGTTACCAAGGTACGAGGAAGGAAAGCTAATAACAGTTTACTTGATATATTTTTCTAAAGAAGTGACTCTTTAATGATCTGTTGATGGAACTGAGACTACGTGAGAGTCTAACAGAGCAGGTAGGAAGTTTCATAGGAATGGAGCAGGGCTAGAGAAATCTTGAATGCAGGCGACAAAAGGTGGAAGTACGAACAGGTAGTGGATTTGGATCTTTAGCAGAGCGTAGGGGCCTGGATGGGACATACTTGTGTACTAGTGAGGATAGGCAGGTAGAAGCTAGTGAGGATAGGCAGGTAGGAGCAACATTATGTAGAGATTTGTAAGCAAACCGCAGAATTTTAAATTGAACCCTAAATCTTACGGAAGGCCAATGTAATCACTAACAGAGAGGGGAGTCATGGCAGGTGTGGGTGGAGAGGAAGATGAGCCTTGCTGCCACATTCATTATAGACTGTAATAGGACAAGCTGGGAACACGTAAGACCATTGAGAATATAATAAGACTGTCATATACAAAAAATGAACAATCATAAAACAGATAGTTTTATGTGCTGAATGCCAGAATAATCTCATTATGGTTTTCCCTGAAGTACTTTTTAATAAATGCATTATAGAATGTATTTTTCAACAAATAGTATTCACCTAATTTTATGAAGCAATGTGAGTGTTTTATTATTGAGCATTGTATGTGCATTTTTTTTTTTTTACACAATGAGTGTGTTTTTTAATTTTGCAAAACTTCAAACAAACATTGTTTTACAATGATGAAACATGATTGTGTGTTGTGAAATCCAGAATGCTAACTTTGATTTACTGAGTCAATGTGCATTTCAAAGGATGTATAAAAGGATCCAGCTTTGAGATATTGAAACCATGTTATATAACAGACTTTACGCTGTGTTGTGGTTTCAGGTTGATTAACAATGGAATGGCTTTCTTAGAATCCTGTATTGTTAATACTGACCATGTCCTCAATTTAATTAACTCTCAGTAAATTCTGTCCATCTTACAACTTTATTGCAATGGAAATTTCCATCTATGTGATAAAGAGCGTCCTTGTTAGCATTAACTGAGATTAACTGAATTATATTGTGGGCAGTCAACATGTTTATTGCTAGGAAGTTCTGGAGCATACACATCAGATCAATCACAGTTCCACACTACTTGCTCCACGTCCACAGCCGTATTCATTCGGAAACCTTGGTTGCATCAATTTGGATGCAGAATCATTTTGTCTATTGTGTCATTCTAGCTCCAGAAAACTGTAAATGGTGCGAGCCGCCATCTTCACGCCTTTTTATATATTTTAGTTCTCTGAGTGCTGACTGACGTACTATCCAATGACGCAAAACTGACTCAAGGGCCTTGTAACGGATCACCTGGCACCCCGACTGGGTACCTCCGTTAAAGGATGCTCCTAGCACTTCCTGAGGACTCCAAGCACTGCAGCAGACACCAAAACCACCAAACCGTAGGAGCATATGAATGCTCTCAAGCATATGAATGCTGTAGACAGTTGAATAGGAACCATACGAATAGGTTTACTCTCCTAGCAGTCAAACTGGAACAGCATACAATAAATCCTTCCCCCAATAATGAGACGACACTTCACTTTGAGGGTTAAAACAGGAACTCAGGTGCTGGCACACCCAGCCTGGTTTTTATTACAGTCTTGCAAATACAGGACCACCCACAGGGAGGTATAAAACAACCAATCACATCACAGTTACATCCCACATATTCCCTCCCCTTATCCTGAGAGGAAACTCAATTATACATACAGTTAAAACATACTTTCTACCCAACTTTCATAACTCCAAAACCATACATCACATTCACATAAAATTACATATTCACAATCAATCCATTCAGGGGAACAACATATTCAAAAATGGCACAAATCAGACAAGGGGTTCAAAAGTTAGTAAAAAGTCCTTTGTGACTAAATGAAGCATGGCTTTCTGGCCCAAACCAGTTTCAGAGCCTTCTATCCTGGAGATAAGTAATTCAATTATCTCCCAGGACAGACACAGACTCCATTAAGCACATGGTTCCAAAAAGACACAAAACACTTTAAAATACATAAAGTCACCTTTACACATAACACACAGACATTTCACATATCCCCAGATAGCTGGGATCTGAGTGCACATTATTAGATGAATGGCACTCAGATCACACAAATAAGCTTTTCTGCAGGGGAAATAAACGGTTTAACCTGCAGGGCCATAGTCCAAAGGGAGCAGGCGAGCAACCAGGCTTCTCCAGTTCACAGTGGCGAGGTTGGTTTCGCCACAGGCCTGAGCCTATATAAATTTGTATAATCTCTGGTCCATTGCCTTTTGTTACTGTTCCTGACTTCTATTCCTGACCTGGCTACGTTATTTGACTTTGAGTTTTTCATGTCCCCAGTATTCCAGACTCAGCTACCTTACTGGCTACAGCTTATTCCTGTCCAGTTTATGCATTGCCAACAAGTTTGTTTGTGTTGCCAGTCTACCATACCAAGCTCTGTTCCTGACCTTGCCTTTTAAAACAACAACAAAAAACGTGTCTGTAATGTGGTTTTCTTTTGTAATTTTGTGCTGTAATCTAGTGGGTGCTTGTTTTCGTGCTGTGAAAAAAAGAGTGTAAAACAGTTTGAAGGAGCATTGGTAACCCTGTTTAAATTATATCATTAAATAAATGATGGGATAACTGTTTTCGCATGCTTTTCCATCCACAGGAACCATTTACACACTTGTTAGAATTGCTGGAAATTCAAAGTACTGTAAATGTTACATTTAAGGTCAAAGTAGCCGAGCTGCAAGGAAAGCTGACTTGGAGAATTTTCCCAGTTCAGTAAGTTTGAAATTTTCTTTGAATTCCTAAAATTCTCACTTTTGTGAATAATCCTATAGATTTTAATGTATTGTTTGGTTAGCAATGAGAACACGGAGGTTAGATATTTACGTGGCCTTTTCACAATCCAGTGATTAGAAGGATCAATTTGTAGACGGAATTTCTAAGCTCTTTTGACTATCTGAACTAATTCTCTGTGCTCCATGTTGGGAAGATTATGGCTTGCAGATCTGCATAGTTCTTGGAAGACTCTTATCCAAAGATGATTATGTTTTCAATTCCCACCATTCAGATCCTGATTATCAAACCTTCAGCACCTTCTACTTGTTTGGAAAATGGTGTAGGTTCCTGAGATTACCTGTAGTTCTACAACAAAACAATAGTTTT